CTACTGTAGCTCATTCCTTACTTAACCATTTCAGATCAGGAGGACTTGGTTTCCGAGTCCGTTCCGCAGGAAGACGGTGAGTAGATGCCTAAAGATTTTATAGTTTTTCTTATAGTATTCATTTATAGTATTTACTCTAGTTAGCTTATTCTTTCATACGTTTAATACATTTTGGTTATTTTTGTAAGGGATGTTAATCATAATATTTTATTTCGCTTCCGCACTTAGAATTTTATATATGCGTTTCCTTTTAATTTCATGGGCTGTTACACATATATATATACTTATTGCCTTGCATCCAACCAGAAAAAGGTTCTTTATAAGTGCTCTCAATGGCACTGGGTCAAATTATGACTACTGGTATCTGTTCTCTCATCTCTGATATCACCATCTCTCCTATAGCTTTTGTGAATTCATGTGTGTTTTTCCATCCGTACATTCTTGCTCTAATTTCATCATTATGAGTTAATTAACTGATTAATGCAAAGTGAATAATAACAATAAAATTAAGATAGTAATAATTAAAAATGTTCGCCTTTGCAAACCCAGATCCTTCATCTTTTGATTTACTTCCTTTACATGAAATGTTTCAGCTAATGTCGAAGCTAATCCTACTTCAGCATCTACGTCCAGTTCTGGGATCGGATCTTCCAAAGCAAATGATCTCTCTGCAGCAATGCTTTGTCCCATTAAGAAAGGTTTCTCCATGCTTCTCCCTTTTCTATTTCTATTAACGTATGCTACAACAATTTTGAGACATTAATTGACGTACATACATGTATATATACACATATCAATAGGAGTTGAATAAATACTAATGCAACATCCATATTGTTGGGTCCCGAATAGGGATATAATTAATGGTGTAAATTGACGTAATATCAAATTAATTAGCAAGAATTAATAATAATAATTTGAAGTTAAATTGATGCACAATCGAACAAAAATAATAATTAGATAATAAGTTCAAAATTAAGTAGACACAGAATTTTACATAAAAAATCTTTCAGTGTAAAGAAAAAAATACGGGTCAAACTCCGAATTAAATCCACTATTAATAAAATAAGTACAAGGTAATCCACCAAGAATTAAATTCAGAACAGAAAGAGCAACATTTTCTTTGTGCTGAATTAGAAGAAAGAAGTAAATAAAATCAAATTTAAACTTCTATGGGAAAAAGGTGAAATTGCTTATGTCGATAATGATGTCATCAAAGAGAAAGACTAAAAACCACTTTTTCTTTCTTTTCTTGGTAGTCACTCAACTTGTATATACAAGTTCTTTCTTCCTTTCCTCTTGCCACACACCCTTCTCTCTTTCTTTCTAACTCTCTTCTTTTTCTTCTCTCTCTCTTTTTTCCACACAACCACTCTTTTTCTGAATTGTTCTTCTCTTATTCTTCTTGATCTAGCAACATACATATATATATATATATGTGTATGAGCTGCAACCCTAACTCTTTTTTTTTTAAATTACGAATATGCCCATTTAGGTTGGATCTTAACAATCTCCCCTTCCAGCCCATGGAAGGTATTCACTCATCTATTACTCAATTTTCACTCAATCCTTCAGTTTTAGTGCAAGATTGATACTTGTCACGAATTTTAGTCACTATGTTAACCAGATCAGTTTAAATCTTCTTCAAATGATTCATCTTTTGCTTCATTGTATTTATTCACTGATTTTGCACTTCTTGAAAGCTCTCTGGCTTTCTCTCTTTTATAACTATAATATACTCAAAACTTGGATATCTAGTAGATAAATAATGTGTTCTGCTTGATCTTTTAACTTGTGGTTCTTCAACAATCTGAGGTGAAGGGGGTTGTTCCCCCTACTCAACATCATCTTTACATTTATTGGTGCAAACACACAATCACTTCCATCTCCTTCACTATTGACATTTCTGATTATAGGAGGAATCAATATAGGAAAATAAATCTCTTCACTTGAGGTTTTTTTAAATATCTCAAAATCTAGTAGGGTCTTGTGTTAATTAAAGATTACATCTCTCGACTTGATGAATTTCTTCTTCACTGAATCCCATAATCTATACTTAAACTCAG